CCTTATGGTAGATGCTCTTTGAGTATAGTATGATCGTTTATCGCATATCTATGGTCTCATTCCCGGTTGTATAAATACATTTCATCCTGACTTTTGGTGCAACAAAATAGTGCAATGTTAGTAGTATTCTACTTACTTGATGTGCGGGTTGACAGCATGTGCTTATGGCCAGGTGCGACTCCCGAACCTCCCCCCATGCGCACCAGCACCCGTCAGTGAACCGAGCGTCCGAAAAGGGCGGGGAATCTTGCAAATCTTACAATCGTACTGATGGGACGGTTTATGGCGTCCCTTCGCCACAGCTAGCCACCACAGTCCGGTCTCGAAGAATTGAAGACCCTCTCACTTTAACGTGGTTTCACATCGGATAGCATGATGAATATACCCTGTTTATGAGCGCGGATTCGATGCGACTGAGGTGCTTATTGTTAGTGGGCGGATCTAACTAGTAGCTGCATAGGGCTCGAAATCTAAATTTTGACGATAGTCCTTTCCATACCAAACAAAAATGAATATCGTGCTTTGCATCAAAAACTGGAAGTACCCCAAGTATCCGCATTCGTAGCCATCTCCATACCCTTGTCCGGAAAAATTTATTCTACGGATATGGATACTGCCGTATCCAATGTGGATAGTAGCCTTATCCAATGCGGTGCTAATGCGGTGGGTAGGGATGCAACCCGTATCCGGATGTTACCCGGATAGGATCCGGATACCAAAATGATCAAGTCTACTACTGTGGCTTTCTTAATCCTTTAAAAATTATGCCGTCCGCATCCCTGAAAAAAGGGGGGACATGGCATGGCTATTGCTGTCGCTATGAATCCCCTATGGCTCTTCCCACACTAGCCAATACGCAACGCGCACGCGCCTTTTTCGTCAATAGCAATGAACAGGGATCGGATACATCTGGTTAACATGCCCGCAGGTCAATTCAGCGCCAAATCGATTACTTGCCCGCACCAGGTCATACCTTCTGATCCGCTAGCTCGTTCTTACTTGTCTAAGAACGGGTTTCTGTTTTAGCATCACGCCTTTTCAACCGTGGCTCGCGAACCCTTCGATTTTTTGCATGCATCTTGCCTTGCAAAAATGAATTGCAGCTCTTCAGCCTCTTTTCTATCCAGATAAGCATATATCACGACCAGGGTTGAAAAGCCGCTTCGCGACTTTTCAACCCTGGCCCATCTGATCCCATGATATTCGTCCCTTTGCATAATTCACGCGATTTTCGCTGACAAAAAATGAGAAACGGGACCTCTCTTCTCTTATATAGGCTACCGCACTTCCGGCGTATGCTAATTGTTTCCTAACAAAGAGGGTTCTCGATTTTTCAAGAAAAAATTAATTTTAACATCCAAAACACGGAATTTTTGGAAATTTTATGGGTGTTCAGTCATCCCACGGCCATTACGCACCTAATGAGGTATAAAACATATCCCTAACTGCCCCCCTTCTTGAGATAATACTGGAACACGCTGACGGAAGTTGCATGCAAATGCATACACACACACACACACACACACACACACACACACACACACACACACACACACACACACACACACACACACACACACACACACACACACACACACACACACACACACACACACACACACACACACACACACACACACACACACACACACACACACACACACACACACACACACACACACACACACACACACACACACACACACACACACACACACACACACACACACACACACACACACACACACACACACACACACACACACACACACACACACACACACACACACACACACACACACACACACACACACACACACACACACACACACACACACACACACACACACACACACACACACACACACACACACACACACACACACACACACACACACACACACACACACACACACACACACACACACACACACACACACACACACACACACACACACACACACACACACACACACACACACACACACACACACACACACACACACACACACACACACACACACACACACACACACACACACACACACACACACACACACACACACACACACACACACACACACACACACACACACACACACACACACACACACACACACACACACACACACACACACACACACACACACACACACACACACACACACACACACACACACACACACACACACACACACACACACACACACACACACACACACACACACACACACACACACACACACACACACACACACACACACACACACACACACACACACACACACACACACACACACACACACACACACACACACACACACACACACACACACACACACACACACACACACACACACACACACACACACACACACACACACACACACACACACACACACACACACACACACACACACACACACACACACACACACACACACACACACACACACGTACGAAAATTGAATTTGATCTCCGAAAATCGCGCATTTCCGTATTTTAATAAGTGCGCGGACATCTCGGGCCTATGCCACATCTGCTGCCCTACCACCCATATCTTCGAATCCTTCACCTATCGAGATCTCTCCCAGAAACCCTGAAGGACATTGTCTGAAGTGTCACAGACACATAGACGGACACTATTTCGGCTAACTTTAGGTAGATGGACAGCGATGAGGTGGGCCGCTGCAATAAAATACCCTTTCGGAATCTCCCCCGGCAACAACATGAAGCTGTTCTTTCTCGGGTTTCCCTTGCAGAGCGGGCCAAGCTATGTTATGCTAGTAAGGTCAGTAGTCCTCATGCGACCCCAAATTTTCGAACGCTTGCAGATATTTCGTAATGGCTCGCTAATGGCCACGTTGATGGACACGCCTTGGCTCGAATTCCGGTGCGAATTCGTCGATAGAGAAGTGGGCGTAGTTCACTAAGCCTAAGCTGAAGCACTAGGCATTTCCAGTGCTTTTTGAATTTTGCGATGTGACGTAGCTCAATCGATCGAGCTTGGAATTCTGACCAAGTTCCATCTAAATTTACTGAAAGACTACTGTCTAGGAGAAAATTTGCTGAAAAGGGCGCTTTTTGGCCCACGCTGAACAAAGGGAAAGCCTTGAGAAACTTTTTATCGAAGACCCCTATAGGTCAGCGGTTTTTTTCAGAATTTCGAGCTCATCGAAGGAGCCGTGCTGCATCTGAAAACTAAGAGGGCGTAAAAACCAATCCTCGTAAACCTAGGCCTAAGCAAAGCCTAAATAAACTTAAGCCTATGCCTAGGTTTTAAATTGGCTGAAGCTCAAGCCTACGCATTGTTTTGATGGTATTTCAGAGGCCGGCGATCATTTTTTGAAAGTCATATTGCCGAAAATAATTTTTTCGAAAAGTCAGTTTTCCGAAAATGTGTATGCAAATAATTTCAGATGGTGCTACGCTGGATTGGAACCAGCGGGAACTTGGTAGTCCAGTTCGAGCCGCTGACGAGCAGGATCTGGGCGCATCCCTTCGAGTAAGTTCAGCTGCTATCGAGTCATCGAAATCATCGAATCGAATCAGCGTATTCGTTCGCGATGAATCGATTGGGATTGGTGGCGTCGCCTCTGCGGCAAAATCGATAAAATAATCAGGGATCGAGAGAGATCGATCGAGAGGTCGAATCAGGGAATTCGAAACGACGCTTTTTCATTGACAAAATTCCAATTTTGCAGTGACGCCCCAATAGAAATTATTGGTGACCAACCGTGGCGAAATTTGGATATTATGACGGCGCTCAACTACCTATTGCACTCACGTCCCACGCGAGACGTTCAAAAGACGCTGGCCATATGCTCGAAGCGATCCAGAGTGGTGGGTTATCAAAACAAAAACATCGGAATATCAATAATCAAGGGTAAGAGTTTACTTTACCCCCCACAGCAGAGGGTCTCAAAGTTTTCGGTATTTTCGCTTATTTTGTCGGGATTTTTGCAACGCCATTCGATAGAGCGTCGAAAAATATACTAAGAGCTAATTTGAGCCAACAATAAGGTAAAATAAAAAGTTATAGCCAAAAACTTCCGGCTGGGGGGTAAAGTAAACCGTAGCCTAATCAAGAGTATCAAAATATCCTACCTTATATAATTTGGTCGCGTATCTTTGTGTGTGTGTCCGGCGCCAGGGAGGGCTACTTTGCATAATTCCAAAAAATACAAATTTCCTCATTCTTGCAAGTTGCACGCGCGGGTGTGGCCGATGGACCCAAGCTCTCGGAAAGTCAAATTTCTCATGCAAAGGCCGCATTCCAGCGCCCAAGGCCCGCGAAGCGGGTTTTGGGCGCTGGTCAACCATAAAAATTTCGGCTCAAGGCTAGGAAACCCCCCCCCCCAGCCGACTTTTCAACTTTTCTACCTTTCTTATCTTTATTTTTCGCTACTTTTTTCGACTGAAATGCAGTGTAGTCTTACTAATTAGCCTACGGCGAACATTTTGGTATACTTTAGAGCTCGCTAGCACAAAGGGGGGCCGAGAATTGGAGAATTTGTATCTCGGCCCGAGATACAAAAGTTGGTGCCGGCTGGGGGGTTTCTAGACTCTTACCAAAATTTCCAAACAGGGGAAATCATGAGCCGCTTCGAAATTGAGCTCTTTTCCTCGGGTGCTGTATTGCTGGTTCACGCTTACCTATCCCGGTATTCAAATGAACCTCCTCAAAGCCATTATTTCGAAATTCATTATCTCGAAGCTTCCAAGACATCAAAGGCAAACAGAATTGGCAATTGGCATTACCGGGCCCTAGGGAAATTACCAGGTTTCCAGATGATCACTGGATCCCCATGATCACAACATGATTCTACCAACTCTCTCCGGTGCCACGACATTTTCGGCCCGTCACTTGCGGACGCGACAGTTGCGGCCCGCCTTGCCTGAAAATGCTTTAGACCCTTACTAACCCTCTGTCTAATTTTATATTGGGAAAAACGGGCTTAATAGGACGGGCCGCAAATGTCGGGCGCAAGTGTCGGGCCGCAAATGGTCGGGCCGCAACTGTCGGGGAGCCCCTCTATCCGTACCCCCGCCCCCTCCTCTCCCCAGCGGTCTTGAGACTGTCCGATTTTCATGACTTATGTATCAATTAAAAACTCAGGCCATAATTAGTAGCTATCTTTTTTCAGATCTTCGAAATATCGGAATTATTGCGCATTTTATGTACAAGGCGCTTCGTGAAGCTATTGGATTGATCGACCGAAATCCAGCAAAAAAAATCCGGGATTTTGAAAATCGGCAAAAACATGTCCGCCTCGCCCTGTCGAGAATTTTCGATTAATTCTTAAAGGGATGAGGACGGCATTTCTTGACCCCCCCCTTCCCTTGGGAGGGGGGGGGGGGGGTCAACAGATGCAGCGGCGAGAGAGGGCGCCCAGGGGAGAGGCACGGAGACATTTTTCCCGCGTGTAATCGATTGACTTATGCCGCCCCTTTCCTTTTAAAGCATCAAAATCGGACCCTCCTGCGGACCGATTGGGAGGGGGATTTTTGTGAGCCGACCCTGTAAGCACACGGAAATTTAGGCGCGGTTGTTCATCGATTCGCGATGGTGCGCCTGTCGTGACTGGAAATATTCTGATGATCCGCCCCGAGGACCTTGCAGTTGCCTCATGGACACGACCAATGTGCATGCCTTCGTGAGTTACTTTATTATACCCGTGCTAACCACTGTGGTGCTGCCGTATCGGGGAAGCTAACTGTAAACCGTTTTTTGTTGACCGTGGGATTTCGATACGTGAGATAGCACATTTTGTGCAGAATTTTTCGCTGATTCCGAATCCGTTTTCAAAAGTTGCGGAACCCCTCTAGTTAAAAAGTTACAGCCGGTTTTCTACCCAAATGACTGAAAATTACAAACATTAAATCCTTATAAAAAACTCGTAGAACATTTTGTGGGATAAAATACAGCACTTCTAGGGATAAAAAAAACGTGCTCTTTCGAATGGGCTACCTCACGAAGCCGTAGCTCAAAATTCACAAGTTCAAAAATTTGCCATCCAGGAGGGAATAGATCCACTGAAAAACTTTTTTCCATGAATTTTGAGCTACGGGGTTCGTGAGGTAGCCCATTCGAAAGAGCACGTTTTTTTATCCCTAGAAGTGCTGTATTTTATCCCACAAAATGTTCTACGAGTTTTTTATAAGGATTTAATGTTTGTAATTTTCAGTCATTTGAGGTAGAAAACCGGCTGTAACTTTTTAACTAGAGGGGTTCCGCAACTTTTGAAAACGGATTCGGAATCAGCGAAAAATTCTGCACAAAATGTGCTATCTCACGTATCGAAATCCCACGGTCAACAAAAAACGGTTACAGTAAGTTTACTTTTCGCCCAGCTGAGTTTTGGCAATTTAAAAATTTTGGTCATTTGTCATAGATCTTTGACCAAAAAAGTTAAAAGAATATGGAAAGATTTATAAGTGTTGTAGAATGCTATAAAATCGTTTACATTTCTTCATAGGGCAGCACGGGATCACCGAAAAAGCTCTGGAAAGCCCCGCCCCGCTGACAAGCGGGAAGGCCCGCTCGTGCAAGCGCCCCCCCAAAATCATACGCCATCCATCATCTTACCATTTTAGTTTGGCAATCACCCATTAATGGAAATGACCTTTATTGCCGAAGATAGTGACTACAGGAAGCCAATTTCGGAAGCAATAGTCGATATGATCCAACGTTTCGTGGGTTATAACTTTTTTTAAGGCTGTCTAAGTCTAGCATAAAGAGCCTTGTAAACGTACTTTGATTAGCCTTATCCCCGACGGACTTAATGCATGTATCAAGCATTATTTTTGTCGTCCTTAAAATATGCCGGAAAATAATTAACAGGAGGTAGATGACAAGGCTAAAAGGATGCTCGCCTTCAACGTCGTCAAGTTCGATCGGTTGCCTTACCGTCCTAAGGTGAGCCGTGTTCTCTGTATCACAAGCAAATTCACCGAACAAGTCGATAACAAAGTACAAAAAAATGAGCGTCCCGGGATGATTGTACACTTATGGGGTGTTTGAAAAAGCGCTATTTTCGTATTTTTTTATATAGATACAGGGTGGCCCGAAAGAGTGGTGACCGCAGCTTGCACACAGAATTTCTCTGTTCCCTTATGGGTTTGGGCAAGGCGGGGTTATGGATTCTGTTTCCTATAGATGTTGGCTAAATTTGAGCATACGCTCAGCGCACAACGCAGTCAAGCTTTTTCATTAGGAATTTAATTCCATAATTCAAAGTCATGGATTTTTTGAAATCGACAAAATCTAAAATAAATTCCTGTGGATGAAAATACTTAACGATGTCTTTTCCATCTCTTTAACGAGCGTGCCTGACGTTTCCGGTGAAGCTCGTGGTGCAGCTATGGCTCAGAACCCTCCAACTTGGTCAAGTGACTGAGGCCCGTTATTAAGGGTTTTGACCAAACCGTTTTTTGCTTGCCAAAAGAGCCATCCTGCAGCCCCAACCCGAATCCGCAGAATTTTTTTGTGTAGCTGGTCTGAAAGGCCAAAGTGTTGGCTACTCCCGATTCAATTTTGGGTTCGCTCGGGAAAGTCTTCGTCGAGTTATGAGCCAAATTCGGGCTGAGTGCCTGCGTGCCAGCACCTCCGTTTTCCTCGCTTCCCCGCCAGTTTTTCCGAGTTTGAGGCAAACAAATAAAAAAGTGGTTATACGATGTGGAAGATAATTGTTTAAGGAATCTAATGTGCTAAAATCAGCTTTCCTCGATCTATAGTTTTTCAGAAAATCGAAAAAGTTTCGGTCACCACTCTTTCGGGCCACCCTGTATAAGCGAGAAAAGTATGTTTGTTTTCTGTGCAGCCGATTTCTCGACCGTCAGGCCGAATTTCCGGCTGATTTTTGGCAGGGAGGTGGAGAAACACATCCTGTTTATAGGCATTTTTTGTTTTTGGAAATTCCCTCATGTAACAATTTTACAAGCAAAATAGTGAAAACCCCTTAACATTTTGGGCAAAAAAGGTTTGCTCAGAGGATATCTCGTCTTCCAAATGAAACTGGGCTCTGATTTTTGGAGGGTAGGTGGGAAATACGATTGCCCCCCATTAGTCATAACCCCATTAGTCATAAATTCCATTAGTCATAAATCCAATAGTCATAAATTCCATTAGTCATAAACTCATTAGTCATAAATTCCATTAGTCATAAATTCAATAGTCATAAATGTTATGAAACTGATTGCTTGGAAATGTTATTCTCTGATATAATCCCGTTAACAAATCCAAAATTAATAGGTTTAATGATATCCGATCACGTGCAACCAAGGAGTTTGATTCGAGAACACGACAAGGACCATCACATACACCTCAAAACCTCTAACCTCAAACCTCGAAACTCAAAACACAAAACTCAACACTCAAACCTCAAAATCTATGATTAATAAAATTTATGACTATTGAATTTATGACTAATGGAATTTATGACTAATGGTTTTATGACTAATGGAATTTATGACTAGTTTATGACTAATGGAATTTATGACTAATGGTTTTATGACTAATGGAATTTATGACTAATGGTTTTATGACTAATGGAATTTATGACTAATGGATTTCGCCCGGGAAATACAATTGACCCGATATATAATTCTGCTTTTTCTCAGATGTTATAAAATAGAGCTTTATGAGCATTTGTCCAACAAGTCCTTAACAAAATGGGTCAAGCGCCGTGGTGTCCGGGCCATAACCCGAATTTCGGACTATGGAATTTCGGGCAGAAATTTGGAACTGTTGTGTA